TTTCGACTTTCATGAACTTAGCCTCGCACATGCAATTTGTCGTTAATTCTTTTCCTTGTCCTTTAGTTTGAAATCATAACAGTCAGTGATAGTAATCACAAGAATTTCTTATTACCGTTTATCTATGTTCACACATATGAACTATGCAATTCCTGAGATTAGTTACAAGGTCAGAATACAATCGTTTTCACGTATCAGTATCTATTACACAACCTAATTATTCATTAAAAAAGAAGAATATATTTACAAATATATTCTTCTTTTTTAATGTCTCAAATTAACTCGGCGCCCAAATATTGTGAAACTATTCGTTCAAATTTAGACGAAAGTTCTTATTTACTAATTATTCATACCTGGAAAAAATTAATGACATCATTTTAGTTTAATTCACAATTACTTATGAATACTAAATCATTCTAGAACGAATAAAAATAAACCATGAGACAGCCTCTAATCATGGTGATTCGGTAGTCATGTTCAGATCTACTTAGAATTTAATAGAGTGCATTAGATTTTAAAATTACAGTCGGATAGTTAATTGTTTTCATCATTGAGCCATTCTTTTAATTCTAATCATGAAAGCATCAAGTTATTAGAAAACTGTCTAGCTACAAAATATTTAAACTAGGTAGCAACAAAATGTTTATGGAAGCTGCACATTTTTCCTCAATGGTCCTATCCCCCTATAATATCAAGTACAACCTAATCAGATTTAGGCCTAGTTCAGTTTTCATAAACACTAATTTCATCTGTCATGTTGAGTATCTCACTAACCGACTAACAACATTAATCCCTTATTATTCATATATACTTGTTTTCTTGATCAGGTAACGACTTTATTTGATAGCATCCAAAATTAGCCTTGTGATAGATTCCAACTAACAACCTTCCTTAACGATGTGAGTTCCTTAAATATTCATTGTAGATAATTCCCATTCAACTTAATTTATATATTCGAATTTCAATCTTTTCCACATACACATATACGGCCCAGGAAACGCTGTTTCAGGTGTTTAAATCGATCAAATGAAACATATTGCTCATAATTTTTGAATAATTTTGATCTCCTGTTACTGTCATACGGATAACTGTTAAAAATCAAGAATAACCAGACAACTGTGTTGTCCTAGTTGCAGTTTCCTAGCAATTTTTACTTACAATCCTATCGGGGATTGAATCAAGGACCCTCAAGTCTTGTTGCAAGTCGACTAAAATTTTAACCCTTTGTGTTTGGAATTTAACAGTGTTTGTTTGTAGCTTTAATCAATTCACTGAATGCCGTCTTTTTATATCTTTCAATAGAAATAGGAGCCCATTGAAATAGAATGAATAAAATTTTATGTTTCATTTTCAGTCACCATCACTACTATTGCCGTTATTCTCTTTCGCAATCTACACTCACATCGACAACTTGTCCCTTTTCGTATTATCGTATAGAAAGAACATTGTTTTGACACTCATTTCAGTCAACATTAAAAGCTATGAACTTAGAGGTTGAGGCTAATCCATAGCATATTGATTCGATTGTTCTCGAAATAAAGCACGGCTTTCTTCGATTTTAAATATATATCAATATTTATTTGTGTTCTCATGGCTCGTATATACTTGATTATAACTCATCTACTTTTTTTTCTAAAAAAACACTTTCGTTCCCTAGGTTGTCTTTTTTTATTATCAAGGATCATGTATCATCGACTTTTTGTTTTCTAGAGCAAAGTAGTTAAAGTAGAATAAAGGAAATAGATTGTTTGTGGCTTTTGTCTACATGTATGTTTATATGTTAATGTCCGAATGATATTTCACTAGAATGAAAGAAATGTACATGAGAATGGGAGTGAAGATATATATATATATATATATATATATATATATATATCTTCACTCCCATTCTCATGTACATTTCTTTCATATATATATATATATATATATATATATATATATATATATATATATATATATATATATTGTTGAGTCGGAGCTACGAACGGAAGTTGAGTTTCTATCGCTGTTGCTTATAAGTGACTGTGGTTGATGCCGTGGTGTATAGGCATTTTATTATACAAGGGATCTGATGTATGATAATATATCACTACTGTGTTTGTCAACCAGTTAGCTTCTCTTCTCAATAAATAAATGTTGTGCATTTGCGACAAGTTTATATGAAATGGACGTACAAACGTGTTTTCATAGTAGTATTCTCCTTTTTTTATGTCGTTGAATGACTAAATCCTAAGCATTTAGATAAAAACGGTAAAATCAGTATGTCTGCAGCATGTTATTCTTCATGTTCATTCCTATTTCTCAAAACATACTTTACAGTTTACATATTTTACATACGTATTAGATGAATTTTCGTCAGTGAAAATCTGAATAAAAATTTCTAGTTTGAAACTTTTTAGCAGTGTACATTCATATCCCCTCTATATTTATCCGAGAATCAACGGGTCTCATAGTGAATAGAATATCATCCTATCATTAAGTTAGTATTTAATTTACCAACATTTTTCGACTGTGGTTAACTAATGACGTAACGTGGAAATAATTCAGTGTTACCAGATTGTGTTCATTCCACCAATCCTCGAGATTTTCCACCCAGACTTCCATCTTAAAGTTTGTTACTAGTGTATACAAGGGGTCATAGAGATGGTGCAACACAGTGGCTTGTCACGTTATCGGACATGGCTCAGAATAGAAGCTAGTGGTAATCGTGCTGTCACTTTCTTTTACTTTCTTCATAAATAAAATAACGTAACTTTTTTTAACTGAAAGGATTCTTTTTTATTGTACTTTTGTTAACCGAACAGCCTCTCTTGTTATTATTGTTATTTCACTCTTATACACTAATTTATGTTCGTTATTGTCTTACTTTTTCTTATACTAACTTTATGTTCTCTATCTCTTCACATTCTCATTGTTATTGTGTGGCGCATGTGTATTTGGTGCCCCTTTGTACCAATATTTTTGTGCTTAAATAAATGAATAAATAAGTTCAACCAAGTGATTGTTTGGGAATTTCTGTATTATTTAGTAATGGAGTGTTGACTTTTGATTACACGTTGAATACACTTATCCTGTTCTACAATTGGTGTTTTACAATGACATGTATCGGTGTAGTAGATAAGTTTATTTCCTATTTAATTAAAATTAATACCTTAGTATGTTCAAGATAATAATAATAATAGTACTAAGTGATTTCTAGTAAATTAATAAATCTCTTGACTTAGTGGATAATGTGACAGTGTATGAAGCAAACTGATTTACTCAGTATTAACATCAACACTGGGATACAAGTGCATCTTTCTATATCTAATGAGTTCCAAAAAAGGCGTAATGCGCATGTTGAATTCCACTTTTGCCGCTTTGCAAATTAACTAAATAAATTGTCACTAGATGTTAGTAAGGAGATAATCCGCTCAAGATTTACTCATGCCACTAGAGACTGATCAACGTTAACAATGAGAAAGCAAAGATAAGGTAGTTACTTTTTGTCTGTTTTTCGTTATAATTTTTTTTGGTGGCGAGGGAGGCAAATGGGAAATTTCGTAGAGGTTTAACGAAAAAATAGCATGGTTCTAGTGTGTATATTTCAATCGGAAATCATTTATTTGTGTGCTATCCAACTGGCAACATATCCCGTTTTCTATTGTATTTCATCACTTAACACTGTTATATTTTAAAGGTTTTAATAGGATCTGTAGTTAAATCTCCTTTCTCACTAAGTCCCACTTACTTTTAATTTCTTGGAAAAATTAAACAAGAATTTTTTAATCAATTACAATACATTCATTGCGTTCTCAACTACACATACAACCTTCTAAGTTTATTTCATGAAAAATTTTAATAAAATATTATAACATTCACGGAGTGAATTTCTCATTATAGTACCAGTGAAATGCTTGGCTAGCAAAATTGTAATATAGTTTCATTTACGTTTTGAACATGGTTTTACAGAAGTAGCTGAAGTAATAGTCTTGAAAAGTATTCATGGGAATTTTATTGCATAACTATAACAAGTATGTGGTAAGATAAGAACAGTTTATTTGAACTCAATGGTAATTATAGGTGTGAAAAAAGATGTTATTCATTTTCAGTATCAATACAGTTAAAAGTTAATCATTGTTTTTAATTATAAAGGTCAGCTTTCAGACGTACCAGGTTCTACGTTGTGACCGATTGACTGACTTTCAGTCCTTCGTTGTCTATGATCTAAATGAATTTGAATAGAGCAGATCTATGTTCTATCATGGTTGTCTTCTATCAGATTGCTCGTTATCGGTGTCAACACCATGTAGGCAATTCTAACATTTGATAACATAATTTAGAGTAAAGTGGATATCGTTATTCAATTAACAATAACATCTTAAAATACTAGCCCTAGCCTTCTTTTAAAGAAAAACAATAATTATGGTAACTACATGTTTGGTAATCTTTATTGTCAAAAAAGAATATTGATTGCTCAAATTGTAATAGTGGCTGTCTGTTCAGCTTAGAAAAAGTGTTTTCCTTAAGTCTTTCTTGTTCTTTATTAATTTAATTCAGATGTATCTTAGTATATACAATTACATTGACATTAGGACTGAATGACTACCTATTAACGAATGCTATGTACCTTATCTAATCTACTTTCATGAATATTAATAGAGATTATTTGTTAATAAAGTTTGTATTTCATTCATCCTGTCCCCTGGATACATTTAAATAATACAAGAACAAGGTTTCCAGGATAAAAGGAATTAACTTTACTGTGCAAACCTTGTTATTCTTCTATTGTTTAAGGTTTGCATTAGTTTCTATCGTCTATTTAATGCATTTTTTCTTAGTTCTTATCTGTTGTTGATTGATGATCTCTGTTAGATTTCAAAGGAATTGAGAATGGTGGCATAAAAACTCACTATAGACAGTTTTCATTTCATTTTTATTATAAATACTCATTTATCAAATATAGTTTCATAAAAATGTTTATTTTATATCATGTTCTTTTCAAACTTTGATCATTGCAGTTCTCAAAATATATTTAATCTGAAACCTGTATCGTCAGTTGAAGAAATGAGTACTGAGAATGATCATTTATCAACATCATCGTCATCATCATCAATATCAAAGCATTCGAATTGTCAAAATGATTCTAGAACTAATTCATACAATATTTCATCGGTTAACTCGTGTTCTTCTTCAAGTCCAACTTATCATCAAACATCACTTAAGCCTATTGATCACTCAAATATCGATACGTCCGGCAGTTGCTCTACTGTTATTTGTAGTTTAACAACAACTCCTGTCATCATCACTGATTCTGTGAATTCAGTTTCGATTAAATCTTCTGTTAATAATACTACCGATTCTATTATGAATATTGCTTCTTCATCTACCGGCATATCTACGGATACATACACAAGTATGGTTAATCTACCTTTCAATGATTCTTTGGTTTGTCGAAGTCATTCTCATTTACCTACATGTACCATGAATTCTTCAGGCTTCATTGATTTAACCCAGAAAGTAAGTATCTATATATTAGTTTATTTTTCGAAAAAATATTATGCTACATTTATCACTTTCTTTTGGAATATTTCACTATTAAGATTATCTTATAATTAATCCATTTATGCGTGGAGTTATGAGTACACAATCCCTAATGCCATCTTTTATTGAACAGATAACTGTTCAATACACCCTGGTTTTCAATGATTCTCCAATTGGTATTAGTTACTCTCTCTACATGTCTAAATATGTTAATTGACCAGATAGTAACCAAACCAAGACACAAAGCCAGTTTATAATGTCACTTACTTTGAGACTGAACTGCATTAGTTGGAATATCACTTATACTACAACTACATGTACTACTTTATTCATCTTGATAATTTGATCTCGTTGTGGTAATTTAGAATAATAACTGAATGAATCTGACTTAAATGATCTAATTATATAATTTAACTGTGTACTGTAAACAATAGTCGAGTTGACCAATATGTCTTTTGTCATTATATTCAACCACTCATGTTATTGCAGTATACTACTTTCAATTGATTATTCAGTGTTCTCTTATTTTTTGTATGAATTAATGTATGAAAGAAGTAGGTATTGCTGTCGTACTCTGTATCTAGATAACATTTAAAAATCATGCTTTAGACTGAAAATTATACATTGAAGATAAAAGTTAAATATATAAAGCATAGTTGATAATATTTTATTCTAATGGTTTATTTCCAATTATTTGTAAGATATTTCTTTTACTTCTCAGTGTGTATACACTCAAATCGAAAAAAGTTGGCTTACAGAATCATATCTCTATATAGAATTATATCTCTGTATGTATCTTGTTCTTTCACCTAACTCGTTTATTATTCATTAATGTAATAGGAGAGAGCCATTATTGAATGACAAAAAGTTGTTGAAAACACAAGTCTATGTGTATCATATTTAACAGTTGAATTAAAATCCAACAGAATACCTAATTTAGAAATAGTGATAATATGCATTTGTCTTTCCCCTCGACCCACCTCCCCTGATTGATTCAGTTATCTTACTTAACCAACTACAAACTTATCTTACTGTTCCTAGAACTATAAAACTGTCTTATCATAACCAATCATTTTGTCATTAATAATAGGTTGAATATCTAATGAGGTTTAATGGAAATCACTTTAATAATTCATTTCTGCAAATCACTTGTTATTATTATGTAGAATTTTTTGTTCTGTAAAATTATCAACCTTTTATTTGTTTTATCTTAACCATGTTTTTTCTCCTCCTATCGTTATTATATTCTCTTCTTTGTTTCTGTTAATAAAATATCTAATCATGATAGAACAACAGTAAATTTCTTCTATTTTTCACTATATTTTTATATGCTCTCTACATCTAAGAATAGTGGATAGAAAATAAGTAGGGATTTCTAACTCAAGTTCATTTCTATTTGCATTTGTTAACCACTAAGCCTAAATATTGTTGAGACATCAAGAAATATGTAATATTAATGTTTTTGATGGAGTTTCGTTCTCTGAGCTGGATGGTTTGGTTGTGAAGCTTTCGTCGTTCAGATTAAATTAACACAAGTTTAAATAGTGCAAATAATACATCAGAAAAGCAACTTTTCTACTCATTGGAATATAAGAAAAAAAAAATTTATTATTAACTTTCTACCCGATGTTCAATTTATTTGAAATTATCAAGTTCAACCTTGGCAGTGATACTTATAAGGAGATTCTAGTTCTTACAAAATACACTTTACTGTTTATATAGGAAAAATAACTTTAATAGAATCACCAATCATCTATTTGATCTGTTTAACTCAGTTGGGGGATTTATGTTGAAACAACTCGTGTTAATTTAGTAACATACAGTTATCACATAAACTGATTGCTTCTCTAAACTAGTTCCACTGTTGTTAGGCTGTCCTCAGAGTGAATCCTATTGAACGTCACATAATTTATTTATTTATTTGAACACATAAATATTGGTACAAGAGGGCACCAACTATATATGCGCAACACAAAACAATGAGAACGGGGAGAGAGAAAAGGAGCGTAAAAGAAAAAAAGAAGAACAATAACGACCAGGTTAGTGTAGGGTAGTGCAATAATAATAATAATGGGGGAAACGGAAAGGTACAATCAGAAGGAATCTTTCAGTTAAGGAAGATACGACCACTGTTTACGAAAAACGTAAAAGAAGGTTACAGCAGGATCGCCACTGGCTTCCATTCTGAGCCATATAGGCGGCCTGCTTGAATATCTGGGCTACCTGTTTCTGCCATCTGATTATTTCAACAAGTTATCTGTTTTTCATTTGTTTTAATTTATAATTATGTCCATTAATCGCATAACCTATTCAGGCGCTTTTATGAAAAGCCTACGACCTTTCGCTGCACAAGTTACGAAAAAGTACTATAAAAGGCATCGTGGTGGTTGGCAATATGCGTTAAAGAGAATGAACATTAATCGTATGTCAATTCCCGAGCTACTAAATTCTAACTGCCGATCACTAATCAACAAAGTGGACTATCTGCAATTCCTACTTAGTCAAAATACGTATCGTAATTGTGGTGTCATCACAATTCAAGAATCTTGGTTGAATGATTTACAGGATGACTGCCTTGTATCACTACGTGATTTCAAAATTTATCGTCAGGATCGATCGAACAATAAAAAGAGGTGTGGTGGCGGTGTAGCTACGTTTGTAAACATAAACTGGTGTCGATCTTCGTTTGTGTGTTTTAAGTTTTCAAATGACTTTATCGACTGTCTAACTCTAAGATGTCGTCCAAAACATCTGAATAAATACAAATATGTTTATGTTACCAATATCTACGTGACTCCAGATTGCACATCATCTGCACTATCTGTTTTTGCTGATGAATTCACTGAGTTCGCTGTTACTGCCTTCAGTGATTCACTTTCAGTTGTATGTGGTGATTTCAATTCATGTGACTGTAGCTTCCTTACGTCACTAGGTCACCAAAATGTAGTAGATTTTCCTACCCGTTTGGATGCTCATCTAGACTTCGTCTTCATTAATGATGTGGGTATATATGCGACTCGTAAACGTGCTCCATTGTCTAGCTCAGATCACTGTATAATTCGTGTTCTACCTAAAGTATATGGAAAGCATGGGAAGAGTACACTCTTACGTCAAACCAAGAAAGTCAAATATAGGAATTACTCAGAAGAAAATATCCGAAATCTGAAAAACATGTTTCATACGACTAACTGGGAATTATTTACAGATGACTCACTCGAAAACACTACTGATGTTATCACTTGTTACCTTAAATTCTGTTTTGATATTTGTTGTCCCACTGAAACCATTTTTGTAAGTTTTGATCGACTTACATCTTCACAACTAAAACGACTACGAAGGATGAAAGAAAGAATGTACAAGGAGAAGAACTCAAATGAAGTTCGTAAGCTAAATGGTCTGATAAACCTAGAGATTAGACGTCTCAACTGTATGTTTACTCAAAAGCTCTTATCTTGCAAAAACTCTCCAAGTATGTGGAAATTCTTTAAAGAACTTACAGGTGACAGAAAGTTTAGAAGCGATAACCAGCTGAATGTTTGTGACTTAAATAAGTCTTTTGTACGTCAGTCATCTGATGTGATGCTCCCTCTATCCACGGGTTTAAAAATAGCTGTGTTCCTACTTTCACTGAAACTGATGTACGAGGATGTCTCCAGTCGCTTAATTCATCTCGATGTTTGGGACCTGATGGTATCCCAAACATCCTTTTTAAAAAATGTGCTGACGTTCTGTGTCATCCGTTCACAACTATATTTAACAGATCCTTCTCATCTAATCTCATACCGAAAATGTGGAGAAAGATGAAGATAATTCCTGTACCCAAGAAAGCATTTGGTGATAAGAATGTAAAATTTAGACCTATTGCAATAACTTCACCCTTCCTCAAAACCATGGAAAAATTATTAATACTTCCACTTCAGCCTGCGATAAAAGAGCATACTGACCCATACCAGTTTGCATACAGGCGCAAAAGAAGCACTTTAGATGCTGTTGCAGTTCTGCATCACAACATAGTGTTCAACTTAGAAAAGGGTAAGAAGTATGTTCGATGTGCTTTTCTGGACTATACTTCAGCTTTTGACTCTATACCAAGACAACGTTTACTTAACAAGTTAATCAGCGTCAACACTGACAGCTGGATAACCAACTGGCTATGTTCCTACCTCTCTGGAAGGGAACAGTACACTGTGTTTGGAGGAAAGAGTTCAGAGTCTCTACTGTCTCATGAAGGTGTACCACAAGGAGCTGTTCTTTCACCTCTTCTATTCTCTTTTTTTCTGCATGACCTGCCATCTTCCACAGAAAACACTTTTGTGAAGTATGCGGATGATCTCACTGTATGTATGCCTATATCTTCCTCTTTACATCCCATAGAAATGAATGAGTTTTTGTCTCGTATTGATTGTTGGTCTGTTGGTAATGGTCTCATACTTAATCCGTCTAAATGTCAAGCTGTTAACTTTAGCATGAGACATGAACGGAATATAAACACTATTTTGAGATCCCATAGTGCTTGTACCATCGGAGACTCTTTGATAAACTCAGTGTCGAAGGTCAATTATCTTGGTGTCACCTTTTCCTCTGATCTGTCTTGGTCTTCCCACGTTTTATCGTTATCGAAGAAGGTTTTCCGTCTGACCTACTACATAAAGAGATTGCATGCTCTTGGAATTACTCGTCATTTACTCTTACAATTTGTCAATTCTTGCATATTACCTATTATTCTTTACTGTTCTCCATTATTCTTTCCCGGGCTTTTGAGAAAAGACTTTGCTGTATTGCGAAGAGTGCTGAAGGCAGTTAGCAAGATGTGTGGTGAATCTTTCGAGGTCATAATTAATATGGTTGTGGATAGACATTTAAAATCATGCAAACTCCTGGCAGGTGTCATTTTATCAGATACTAGCCATCCCCTTCACTCTTATCTTTCTCCTTGTATATCTTCTGGTAGAACGAGACGTAATTACATTAAAATC